TAGTTCGGATGGTTCGTGTTATCAGGTTATCGGGTAAACAGAGCACACGTTCTCTTCAAGTCAGTGGGGTCAAGGTGGGCTCCACGTGGCGCGAAACAATTTGTTTGCACACACAGAGCTAAGTCCGCACTCCGCAACCAATAAAAGTTCTTCCTTAAGAGCAAGTGAGCTCTTGCTCTTGCTTCTGATCCAAATGTCTAACTCCCGAACCGACAAAGGGAAAGTCGCCGGCTGAGCGAAGGAGGTAGGTCGGTCTTCCCCCCCCCCCCCCCCTCTCTCTCTCTCTCTCTCTCTCTCTCTCTCTGTATGGACGGAAGGAGGTTGACGGGATAGCTGGAGGTCGGAGCTTCAGCGGCTCTGGCGTCGGCTTGAGGTCGGACAAGGCAGAGATCGGGAGTAGGAAGGGAGTTCGGAGGAGGCGAGTGTGGAAGAGAGGTAACGAATGGGAGAAGAGAAGCAGCGGGAAGAGTGGGGGCTTTGGGTCGGTATTTAAAGGCGACTTGGGCGCTCGATCGAGGTGAGGTCGCAGATTTTGAGCAGGATTTTCGGAACGGCGCCGCATGTACAGTAAATCAATGGGATTCCAGCAAGATTTCGGCAGAAATCATGGATCCAATGGTTACGAGGTATATAAGAGGGAATTTGGTTTTAGTTTTCTTCTCTCTTTTGCTCTTTGGGTATAACATGGAGGTCAACAGTTATAAAGATAGTTTAGTGTCTAATGAGTCATCTAAACATCTCATATGGTAAGCAAGATATGAAACCTCCTATCTGCTAGAAGGTCAGTGCTTGGAATGCTCCTATCAAACACATGAAGTTGTTGTGGATCATTATCATCAATGTCTTCAGAAATAGTATGGAGATGAGGAACTTCAATTATAGGAGAGTTAATATCCATGATATTAATTTCAGATAATATAGGTACCATATCTGTAGGGCTAGCAGGGGCAAACATAACAGGCTCAAAATCTGAAGGTAAGTGTATTGTTTTAAAATCTTAAGTGCAAACTTAAACTGATGAAAGTCATTGTTGGAGAAGGATCTGAATATTTAAATATATCTCTTGTGCCTTGTTCGCGAAAACATTTTACATAAACATTGGAGTTGCACCAAACAAGACATGGCTCCTCAAAGATTTGAGCGAAAAGTACAAAAAAAAAAAAAAAACTAAATACTTGCCAAAGGATGCTTCAAAATGCCCATATATCTACTATATTTATTAATAGCTGATTTTTCTGTGTCCTAAACTCCAACATATAAGGCCTCTATTAAAGGAAAAAGTCTGAAATCAGATATCAAATGGTGACATGTATCACATTAGCAAAGTACTACAGCTTTTAGATAAATCATGAGCTGATCAAGAAAAAGGCATATAAAAGAATGAGATCAATGCATCTGTTACTCATATAACATAGAAATTATAATTTATCAAAGACTTGTTCTAATAAACATAAAATACATGATGAAATGAGGCATGCCGTTGCCACGTTCCCACACTAACGGCATGTCGTAATGGAAATAACTGCCGGCTAAAACTCATATAACATGATGTGGGAAACAATCAGAGGGCTTATGCGCACTTGCAATAGGAATTTTCTCTCACTTTCGAGATCCCGTCTTCGGCTCCCAATCGTTATATTCTTGATCTCTAACTCTCATATACGCACCTCCCGGCCCAATTCCTTTGGTTTCACCTCCCGCACGAAATCGAGGCTTTCGCCGGCCGACCCTAATCCTCGAATCGAGCCCATTCAAGCTTCTGCCATTTGACCTAGGTCGCGTTCCTCGCGCGAAACCAAGCTTAATTAGCTTCTTGCGTCCAGCCCTAATCCACGTGCCGAGCCCAATCGGGCTTATGCGTCCGTTACACACACTCCACTAGCTTTGGCCCACGCAGCTGCTCAATTCCTACTCAGCCACACCTTCATTTTGCTCACTCAAGCAGGATCGACTTGCTCTCAAGCCTAGACTGCAAAACCCGCACGAACGCCTCGTTTTCTTTGTGTTGCCTTCTTGATTTCAAACAGTGAGTGAGAGAGAGATATTCTTATAATAATAATAATTAGTATTTCTATTATTATTATTATTATTATTATTATTATTATTATTATTATTATAAATAATTTAAAAAAAGGGGAGACAACTTCACATCATTCAACTAATTTAATTAATAATTTAAAAATATAATTTAAACTTAAATTTTGATTTAAATCAAATTAAAATCAATTATTTTTTTTAATAAACTCAAAATTTTAATTAAAATTAAAGCTTTAATCAAATTAATTGAACAAATAAAATAAAATTTAAATTTAATTAAATCAAAATTAATTGAATAATTTTAAAATACATTTAGTTTTAATTAGAGAGCTAAGCAATTAAATTCAAAATTTAATTTTTATATCAACATATTGACAAAAAAAATTAAAATTCAAGTAGAAAGTTTTTGAGAGGAGAGCCTGGTGTATTTTTTTTATTAAAACATAAAATACAAAAAATAATATTTTTCCATTATCCAACCTAAGTACAAGCTACAAATTGCTCCTAAATAACAACTCTCTAAGTAGAACAAACAACTGCTCTCCAAGCAAAACCCTCAAACTCAAACTCTCAGACTCTCAGTAGAGCCTCAATTGCAGTTACGTGTGAGCTTTCTAAACCCCTCGACAATTGCAAATTCCAGCTTCTGTAACTGCAACTTCTAGCTATTGTAACTGTTGGCCACGAGCACCTGTAACCAAATGCACGAAAGTTAGCACATAATAAATAAAAGTATTGCTGAAAAGAGTAAAGCTAACTATTGAAACTAACTGCTAAAGTGAGTACTAAAAGAAAAATAGGGTACTATACCAGAACACTAGTGTCGGACTAGTAAACAACTAAAAACTACAATATAGTGCCACGCTAGCAAACAACTACAAACAAGAGCCTCTATGAGTATAGTCCAATTTACCCTAAACATACACCTATGGACAACTTTTAAGTGAAGCAGCAAGTCTCATATATTAGGAAAATAACCCTAAAACCTTTTCAAACCAAATGTCGACAGCTTAAACTATAAAACTAGGTTGTAAGACCTGTTTTCCAACAACTTCTAATAGAAGTTATAAGTCTGACTTTAGGGGAAATCTCTAGGTAGCAACCTAATTTTAGACCTCTATACCTAGGCCACTTTTAATAAAAATTGAAAGTCACTTCTTAATTAGGATGTTTGGGAAAACTTTCCCAAAATAAATAATTCACCCCTAATAACTTGGGCAACCTCTAATGGAGGCTATAAGACCTGCTATTTGGGCTACTTCTAAGTGAAGCAGTAGACCCTATATGGACTACTTTCAATGAAAGTCGTAAGTCCCGACCCAAATTCAAACATATGGGCAACTCCTAAATTGGGTCGTAAGACCTAACCTAAACCTGAACCATGGGCAAATCCCAAGTGGAATCGTAAATCCCAACCCAAACTAAACCAAATTATAATCCATATTTCTCCACTTCAATTTACTCGGGATCCTTGAGAGGAGGCAACACATGGCTACAAATCAGATTCCCTGGACATTACAATCAATAGTTGTTCGTGTTGGTAAACTGGAACATATGGTATACCCAGGACGACAGAATCATAGGATCTTGATTGAGTGTACTTTCATCCCCCAATAATTAGGACTAAAACACTTGCATGCTTCTACACTTCTAACACAACTAAATATATATTTCATCATTAATCAAGAGTGCTCTTCTATGCGTTAGAATGAGTAATTATTTATGAGGGTTTACGGTCATAGGAAGTAAAGATCCAGATATAAATAAACCTTGACACTATCCTCAGGGGAAATATAGTTAAATTCAAAATTCAATCTGCCTGAAGGGAGAGCGAAATCCTATGTTTGCGAAGGGGGATTCATTCATGCCTACAGCGCATCGCTCCTTTCTTGAGCAAACATGTCTGAACGTTTAATTTCCTCAAATCTGAATGAGCCTTAAAACATTCAAAATAATCTAGCTAAAGATGTTGAAGAAGGAGAAATAGAGGGATGCATTAAAATTTACCTTGTACTAATATTCACAAGAAGAGCCAATTCACACATCCTTTTCAGAACATTCATTTTCACTAGAATTCTAGCCATAAATGGCCTAAAGAGATAAATAGTGACAATATACACTATCAAAGGTTTACCGAATATAAATCTGAAGGAGTTTAAAGTGATTTGATTAAAATAATGTAAATACAGCTTACGAAAAGCCACCTATATGCGTCTAAATGAGGAGACTATTTTAGCATACACAATAGATAGCTACTGACATGATCTTTGTAGCATGGATTGAATCAAAGATATTTCCTAATCTCTCTTTGGAGTGGGAACTCATTTGTTATTCTCTCTCCTCTGTTATAGTACTTGATTCTCCTCATTCCTCTTGTCTACATAAAGTGGTATCAAAGCATAATCTTCCCTGTTGTTGCCCTTATATTTCCGTCTCCTTCTTTGCTTGATCATGCTTGCATCATTTTTGTTTGGTTCTATAACTCCTCCACACATGCATGTTTGATATAAGATGCTTAAGGGTCTAGATTTCCTAGTGCAACCAGATGTTGCGATGAATAAAAGCAGCATTCATTTTAAAAATTCATAATACAAAAAACCACCCATTAAAAAATTATTTGCTTACTTTTAATGAGAACCTGAGAACATGAAGAAATCATCCCAATGATGATGATCGCCTAAGTCAATGAAATTCAGTGGAAAATTTATAATAAAAAACAACAAGTCGATTGAAATTTTACATCATAATTGCAAGTCCAATTGTGACAAATTTCACAAAAGTTAGTAGCACTTGCAAAGCTAATAAGAAGATATAATTGAACATTTGATTTTATCTTCTAGACTAATCTTACTGCCTTTTTTCTATCAGATGGGGATTTAGAGCTTGTAATTGATCATCATAGAATGAATTATATCAATGATATTTTCCTATCTTTATTTTTGATATTGACCAATTATTTTCAGGTAGGAGAGCAAGGCGCTTGGAAGTTCTTCAAGCTGATGGAGTGCCTGGAGCTCGGGATCCTGAGAAATTTAGTTTTTGGGTACTTGACGTTACCCTTGTGCTTCTGTCACTATGGATCTTGCGCAACTGCTTATTTTCTGCAAATTAATTTTTGGACAGCTTGTGAATCTTCTTAACCTGAGGCCATCTGAGAGGCTGAACATATTACGATTGAGAGATACAAGAGAGGTAAACTTTCAGAAAAGCAAATAGTACTTGGAGTTTTTGCTATTTTCAGTGATTTTAATCTTGTTCACATTTCCATTCACAGAGGATTTCCTGTGGACTTGACTTTCTGAGGAGGACTGAAGAACAGGGCTGCCAAGTCCAGTAAAAATTAAGGATTAGTTTGGGATGGCTTTTTTATTACTTCTTAAAGCTGTTTTTTAGTGCAAAAATTAAAATTTATGTACTAGAAAGCTGCTTTAAGAAGCAGTAAGAAAACCGTCTCAAACAAAACTTAAGTTTTTGAACTAATATTGCCATTCATGATCATGTATATATTTTGTTAATCCTTTCTTTTTTCTTTATTCTTTATTTCTGCTTATTGCCTCTGTTTCTTTTCATCTGAACTGAAAAACCATCATAAAAATCTATCCTATCCATAGTGCTCACATTATACCCAGATTGATTGATAAAAACTGCAATAAAGACCTGTTTTGTTATCTAACTTTTTCTTCACTATTTCCTTAATGCAGCTGGATGGTGAGGAAAAGCTGAGAAATTATATGTATCTTTTAAATGTAAGCCTCAATTAAGTATTTTTTGTGATCACTTTTTAGTTTGTTTTCCTTTCTTTATCTCAATAATTTCTATGTTCTTCAAATCTGTATTAAGCTGATCAGCACAAATGATAGAATGTGAAAGAAAACTTGCTACATTTGCCTTTTACCAACACCCAAATCTTAAATTTATGATTCTGAAGGGATTTTGATGCTTCAATGCATATTTTTGGGGATTAAATTGGGATTAATTTTGTAAAGTTAAGGGATTAAAATGTGATATATATTTTTTTTATTTTAATTCAATTAATTTTTATATGATGGATCAATTTTATATAATTGAGTGATTAAATTGGAGAAAGGTATTATTCTGATATTAAGTTAACTTTATATGAATAATGTGGGATTATTTTAGGCTTTTTCTTCTTATAATATTTATCCTAATTTAATTTTGATTAGAATATTATTACCCAAATTTTCTCTTCGAGCAAAGTTTGCATTTTGATTGTGATGTAGTAGTAAGATTAACTTGTTTTTAGAAAACTTAGTTATTTAGCACACATTTTGAGATAATATTTAAAATGGAAATTTTTAGAATTAAATTGAGGACCATTCAAATTTTGATTCAATAAAATTATATTTCAATTGAGCATCTCGATGAAATGAATCTATCAACATGATAAGTAATCATATTTGAGTCCAAATAAATTCCACTATAATATTTGAAGCAAATTTGGAAGCTTTATGAAACTAATTGAATGATCAAATATTCTCTAAATTTATGTGTTTTTAATTATTTTGAGTGACTCAACGGGATGAGCCGAATAATCTATGATCATTTTATTTTATTATCATTAAAATACTTAAATTTTTAATAAATAATTGATTATTGATGTGATTAATATGAATTGTTTAATAGAGTTTTGAATTATGGCTAAAATTATCAAAATGTTTATATCAAAAAGTTATAAATAGGCTTTTGCTAATAACCACTATCAACAATCATTATCAACATTGTCAAACTTTTGTTATCGCCACTTGTTTGCTAACATCTATTCATGTTGATGGATATTAGTTGTCCACTTTGTGAATATCCAACTTATGTAATTCTATAATGAGAATCATATAATTGTTTTTAATTATGCTATATTATCTTCTTCAATGGTAGAAAAGAGTGGAATCTTGTACATTTAATTGTATAGTAGATTATTATAATTGGGTAAGGTCTCATGATTTTTTTTTTGAAAAATTTCACATAAAAAATTTGTTATCTTAGACCTTCTGTTTGTGCAGCTTAAATCCTTATACAAAATTAATAAATTAACTATATATTCTATTGGCGTCAATATTCCCACATGCAATATTTTCGCACCATTGGTGGGAATTCATTCCTAACATATCACAAAGATTTATGCAGTGGCAATGAATGTCAATCAATCCCTCAATTAAGGACTTCACAATATAAGTAGTGCAAAACCCACAAACATCACTTTGGAGGATCATATGTTGGATGGAAAGGCTTCAAATTCAAATATTATAGCTCTTAGAGGAGATTAGATAACGAAGAGCATCATAGTATAATGTTCTCCTACTAAATAATCAACAACAATGTGAAGTTGATGTCACTCAAGCAGTATCTCCTAATGATGTAGTTCCCCTTTCACCATAGCCTCAAAAAATTCTCTCGGACATTGTCAGTTTAACTTATCCTTTTAGTATCATTTGGCTAGCCCATAATCTTCCATTAGTCATGAAAGACCTAAATTAACATCACTTTATTCACACCGATCATAATGCTAAAGAGATGAGCCACGACATGTTATTTAGGACAAATTCCCTTTGAGGGAAAGGCTAACTTATCTCTTACCCTAACTTCAAAAAACCGTCACCTCTAATTGATACAATTCTTGAGTATGTTATTCTTGTAGGGTTTAAGTTTACTGTTATTGATTCATACAATGAGACTTATGATTCTTATGAACATATTGATCACTATAAGATTATTATGCACATTCATCAATCTTCTGATAAGGTACTCTTCCAGGTCATCCGTGTAACTCTTATATAAAGGCTTACACATAGTTCTACTCTCTTGTGGAGAACTATTCATATTTTTATCAATCTAGCCAAGCTTTTTGTCTAATAATTCGTCGCCAACCAAATAATCATCAATAAATTCTTCTATTTTTCTAGGATTTGTCAAAATGAGGGAGAAACACTTAAGAAATTCTCTCAAAGATTCCCTTATAAATCAATTCAAATCTTGGGAGTGGATATGGAGTTAGTAAGAAAGGTATTTCTAGGAGGACTATGCCATGAACCTTTTTATTCCTTATTGATGCATGAGAAAATATGCTCATATGTTAATCTCATTTATTGAGTTGAAGCACAAATAACTACTACCTTTCTATTCCTTATTAATGCATAAGAAAATGTGCTCATATGTTGCTCTTATTTATTGAGTAGAAGCACAATTGATATTTGAGGTCGTCAGTGCTCATCTAAAGCAATTTGAATTATTCTCGAATAAACATAATAATTTATAATAAGAAATTTATCCACATACTTAATGAAAAAAGTATGTGCATTCAAGTTATCAAAGATGTCTTTCTAACCAAATTCGGTCTGAACCACCCAATTACACTATTAAATACATCAAAGGCTAACATGTTGATAGATATTCAAAATTTTAAATACCTCAAGTGGCCAAAATCTTTAAAGAATCCAAATAACAACTAACAATTTCAATATTTTCACTTTCACCATGCAAGAAAACATTCAACTAAAAAATAATAATAATAATTGAAGGAAGAAATTGAATTTCTAATTCATCAAAGATAATATGGCTATTATTTACAAGAAATACATATAAATTATTAGCCCCAAAATAGACGAGATCAGAAGAGTCATGATGAAAAAAATATTGAAATTATTGAATAGAAGTAACATCACATTGGAAGATTCCATGACTGAAAGAAGTCAAAGAAGTTGAGTTCCTATTGGACTTGAAGTTATATCTTGACTTATTGGGGATAAAAATATCTTTCAAGAAAGCTTTTGCTTGAATTATAAAGGAAATAAACTTTTTTTTATATATAAATAATACTGTATCTAATAAAAATTCTTAAGAGATACACCCATAAAGTAGCCTCAATGGGAACTTGGTGATGGACAGTGAACCTGCTTTCAGGATAAAAAATGGAGCACCACCATAGAGGTTGAAAATCTTGGGTATCACTGACAAGTGTGTCTGAAATGTCGTTCGGTACCCTTGGTAGAGGAATACTAGAGGATGAAGTGGGATACATACTGCTTATTCATGACAATATTTTATTGGTGCCTATGAAAGGGGAATTATGTATCGCTTATATAAAATAATACTGAGCTCCTTTTAGGAGATAAAATCATAACCTACAAAGAGAAATTGAGATATTTTAATTTTTTTGTCATAATTTAAAATGACAATGCATTACTCTTGGTAGATGAACATTGGAACATATAAGAGAGGATACAATCTTATCTATGATACTATTTTATTTGAGCATGTGTAGTGAGAATTATGAACTACCTATATATGACAGTAGAATGCCGCTATAAATAGAAATAATTGGAGTCTGGAATAAGAGGGATGAGCAAATTGATGGCATTGTGTATCCCCCTTACATGTTCTATGCTTCAGTTACCTTACTATTGTTGCTTGACTATTAACATCTAATATTACTATTAGACTTTAACTATCTGCTTGTGAACACATAACTTATGTAATTCATATAATGAAAATCAAATAATTATTTTCAATTGTGCAATCTCGCTTTCTTCAATTATGGAGGGGTGGATTCTTCTCAATCCAATTATATAATTGATCATTATAACTATGTTACTCCACAATTTTTTTTCCTTCCATGTAAAAATTTTTATATATTTGTTTATTCTTTAAAAAGTAACTTACCAATAAAAATCTCATTTATGTGATGACTTATTTTACATTCTTTGAATAAATTTTTTTCTCCTAAGCAATTGAATTTTAAATATGGGGATTGTTAATAAAGATATAAGTAACATTTAAATTCATTTGAGTGAATAGTTAGTGGTTCAATTTATTTTATTTGAATCAACTTAAAATTTGACTTACAATTAATAATCATCTACTAGACTCGAACTCAATTGTTGTTCAAAATAAAATGTCTAACACAGTTTAGGGAGGTTCACTCGAATTCGACTCAATATCACGTTTACTTAGATTAAACAAATGGTGTTTACATTTAATGTAGCATCTATTAACATAGGAAATGAGTACAATCTCAAAAAATAAATTTGATGTTAATATACATAATAGTGTACAACAATGAGGAAGGACAAGCATAATTTAACAAAATAAAGGGGATATAAGCATAAAAATGACTATCTTCAAGAGAAATAAGAGCAAGTAATCCAAATAAAATAATAGTGATTGAATTATGCTGTGATAACAATTGTTAATATATCCTTTGATTCCATAGAGAATAGTTTGCATCTTATAAAGAAAGATTGTCAATTATGACATACTCTACATATTATATGGATGTTTCAAAAGCATCTTTGCCATTTGGCTTCCAAAGCAATTATGCACATTCAAGGTTTATATTTTATAGGTTTTATTTTTTTTTCTTAACTAGTTATTTATCATTATTTTTCTTTAAAATAAGTCATCTCAAAATAAATTCAAAGATTTTAAGATTCAGACTTTGCTGGGCGACTTGTTTTTTTTTTTTCCTTTCTTTCTTTTTATAAGCTCCTTCCTCAACTATAATTTCATAAATGCATTTTAAAAAAAGTTTTTCAAAGGCAAAACTTTTATAAAATTTTTATAGAACTGATTTAAGAAGCAATAAAAAGTCATCCCAAATAAAACATAAAAAATTATTTTTCAAATGCACACTACTTTTTAATTAACATTTTTTTACCACGAAAGCTGTTCCAAACAAATCCTCATTCATATGAAATTTTGACATGTTATTCCAACCCATTTTTTATAAAAAAAATAATGAAAAAACTGTAATTTTTTAAAGAAAAATTTAGGATCCATTCATACCAAATTTTTTAAGCAAATAAATGTACAATTAGTCTAGTTTATTTTCAATAAAATATTAAATTTTATTCATGTAAATGCTTTGTTTTACAAATGTAATATTTAAT